CCCCCTGCCCCCCAAAGCCGCCCACCCGAGTCGGTCTCTGACAGCTCCTTCTTGAGCTGCGCGATCCTCATCTCAATCTCGTCCTTGGAGGCGGCGTCCGCGATGAGGGTGGTGCTGGTGGAGGCCACGGTGACCTTGCGGGCGGTGCCCAGCTGCTCCACCACGGAGGACTCCACCTTCATGCCCAGGTCCTTGGCAATGAACTCGGCCCCAGTCACGATGGCAATGTCCTGGTGGGGGAGGAAGGGAGGAAGGGGTGTTTGGAAGGGTGGGTCGTTTTGGGCGGTTTGGGGTGGTAAGAATGCAGGTTGCGCGGAGTGTAAGGCAGGTACAGGCAAGGGAGCGTGTGTGTGAGTGATTTGGAGTACTCGACCCTGGTGCCAACTCGAACACCAGCTGCAATGTGCAGGACAGAGTGCACATTGCAGGTGGTGTTCAAGGCCACCCAGCCGGCCTCGCGAGCACGCACTTCCTGCGCACACATCCCACGCCACCCTGCGCCAGGGGCGCGCAGGCCCCCCTCCCTCAGGCCGTCTGCCGGGAGCCCGCGCCCTGCAGTGCTCACCTGCAGCAGTGCCTTGCGGCGCTCCCCAAAGCCGGGCGCCTTGATGGCGCAGACGTTGAGGATGCCCCTCAGCTTGTTGACCACCAGGGTGGCCAGGGCCTCGCCGCTGACGTCCTCCGCGATGATCAGCAGCGGCGCGTTGAGGCGCGTCACCTGGGGAGGTGCGGGTGTGAGAGCGAGCGAATGGGTGTGCGTGTCAGCGTATGTGTGTGTGCATGTGTGTGTGTGTGTGTGTGTGTGTGTGTGTGTGTGTGTGCATGTGTTTGTGCATGTCTGGTTTGCAGCCCAGCCTGGGAGGGCTGGCGTGCAAGGGGTTTTAAACCGGGTTTCAACCACAAGGGGGTTGCGACACCGCAGGTCAATGCGCAACCTTGGACAGTGCTTGAGCTGGAGATACCGCCACTGTTCGGGCCAGCTCCTCCATCCGCACCCAGCCCCACCCCCTTTTGTTGCAAGCCACGCGTCCTGGACCAGGCCGCCCCACCCCCAGCACAGCGCGCCGCCCTGCAACCTTGGCTCCCCCACTCCCTGGCCCCTGCCGCCCCACCTGCTCCAGGATGGGGATGATGTCGCGCACGCTCTCGATCTTCTGGTCCGTCACCAGCACCTTGCAGTTGTCGTACTCCACCAGCAGGCGCTCGTTGTTGGTCACAAACTGGGGGGGGGGACGCATAGGGACATTGGATAAGAGGCTTGCGAACGTTGAAAGCAAGCTCGATGGGGGGCACCAACAGCAGATTGGTCATACTCTGGCACGCCCACCAGCACCCTGCCCTGTCACCCCTGCGACGTTGGTGGGTTTGAGCGCCGCTCGTGCATGCTGCTTGCCGCCGCTCCCTGGGCTACCAAAGGTACCCACCGCCCTCCAACCCACACAGGCACACGTGACACCTACCCATGCCAAACCCCCCCATTTCCCCCCTTCCCCACCCCCACTCACCTGGGGGCTGATGTAGCCGCGGTCGATCTCCATGCCCTCAGTCACCTCCACAAACGTCTCAGTGCTGCTGCTGCTCTCGATGGACAGCACGCCGTTGGACCCCACCTTGTCCAGCGCGTCGGCAATCATCTCGCCCACAAACTCGTCGTTGCCCGCAGAGATGGACGCAATGTTCTGCGGCGGCGCGTGGCGCGGCGCGGCGGGCGCGGCGGTGTCAGTGTGAAAGTGGGGCTGTGAGTGGTTTGCACAGGCCAGGGAGCTGAGGCTGCGTCGGGGCAGGCTGGCCAGCCAGTGGCAGGGGAGCCCTGCCTGGCGACAGCGCGCCTCGGCTGCTGTGGAGGCGCGCCCCTCGCTCGCCGCCGCCCGGCACCGGCTGACGCTCGGATCCCAGGCGTGGGGGCCACCCCTTCTAGACCTCTGCGCCTGAAGCGTTTTCTCTCCCTGCGATTCCTCTGCCTGGCGTGCCTCGCTCCTCCACGCCACCCGGCCCCAGCCCACCCCTTTGTGCCCCAGAGCCCATCAC